TATAAATTATATTTCAGATTTATGATAAATAATTTTAGATCGTAATATAGTATTATTTTTATTTATTGATAATTCATTTCAAAAATATAAAAAATTAATTTATAAATAATTATGATAAATAAAAAATAAATTATATAAAAAGTTTAAAAAAATATTTAAAACTTATTCATTAAAAAAAACCTCTGAAAACTCACTATGCAATATATAAAAATTGTGTTTAATATATAGTATCGAGAATTTTGCATACCAATCCTGATTTCTTATCCACAAAGAACTAAAGACACCCTAAAGCTGTAACAAGTTTACTTTTTCGAGAAGATGTTTTTCTTAAGATAATATATTCATGCAACTTTAAATTATTATTATTTTTATTGTAATAAACTACCACTTTGTTATTATAGTTTCCTAGATCAGACAATGAGATTCATATATACAGATACCATTAGTAATTGAACGAAACATGAACTCTTATACCTTAAAGGACACAGACAATTTTCTGAAGATAGAAAAATCGTAACATACATCATGGGTCAGAGATTTACTATATTATATACAAGTCACTTACAAAAGCGGAAATTTTTTACGTAAATAATATTTAAAAAAAAAAAATTACAAAAGTAACATATGTGCAACTTTATTTACTTAACTAGAACCAATCACTGATGCTCAGAATTCGGTTCCTCGGGAACCGAATTCTGAGTTGTTTTTAATTTTTTTTTTTTTTTGCGTTTGAGGCCCAGTTTGGGCGAATCTGGGAAGTGGAACGGGCCGTTCCGGAAGTAGAACGGCCCGTTCTGCTTAAACACATACAGTGTTATTTTTGAAATTGGAACGAATGCAGAACGGGCCGTTCCAATTTCAAAAATAACACTCTATTTGTTTAAGCAGAACGGGCCGTTCCGGAACGACCCGTTCCACTTCCCAGAAACGCAAAAAAAATTAAAAATAACTCAGAATTCGGTACGTAACATACTTGTGAATCAGAATAAGATTATGATACACATTATATTATATATATGTTACATTTTAGAAAAAGAAAGAAAAATAGAAGAAGAATCACGTGAAATATAAACAAAAAATATATAAATTTCATTAATTTGAAAAGGGTAAACACTTGGTCTGAGGTCTGAGGTATTAAATAAAAAAAAATAAAAAAAAAGTATACGATAAAATAGATTTTAGTATTAGAAAAACTTGGTGAGACAGTGTTTGTGGTGTAAGGCCCAAAACTCGTTTTGTTGATTCATATGGACTTGGGGTTTGGACTAGGGTAATCGGAGCGACACGTCGGAGAAAGGCGTGGTGAGTGGGGTCTACCTCTGGAAGAAGGATTCTGACGTAGACGTCAGCGTGGCACTTCTATTCATTCCTCCATTGCTGTCTACGGTTGCCTTGTGTTTATAATGTGTTTGGGTTTCTGCACGATTTTCAATCCGATTTGGGGTTTTCATTTTTGTTAAGTGTTAACCCTTCACTCTCTCTCTCGTTGCCCCCAATCCAATCCAATGTCTATCCCCGATTCTCCCCAAGGCGCCGATACCGATTCCGATCCATCTCTCGTAGAAGAAATAGAGGAGGAAGTAGAAGAAGAAGAAGAAGAAGAGGAAGAAGAAGAAGAGGTCGAGGAGGAAGTAGAAGAAGAAGAAGAAGAAGAGGGGGGGGAGGAGGAGGAGGAGGAGGTTGAGGAGGAAGTAGAAGAAGAAGAAGAGGTCGAGGAGGAAGTAGAAGAGGAGGAGGTTGAGGAAGAAGTAGAAGAGGTTGAAGAAGAAGTGGAAGAGGAAGAAGAAGAGGGAGAACAAGGAGAAGAACAGGAAGTAGAAGAAGTCGAAGAGGAGGAAGAAGAAGAAGACGATGAACAACAACAACAACAACAACCACAGCAACAAGAAGCAGTAGAGGAGAAGGAGGATGATCAATTACTGCAACAAGAACAAGAGCAAACAGCAGTGAAGGAGAAGGAGGAAGAACAACCGCTACATCAACTACAACCGGAATCGGTGGAGACGAAGGAGGAGGGCAAAACGGTGGTGCCAGATTCTCCTCCCGATGCCGATAAGGATCGCAAAGGTTTTTCTGCTCATAAATTAATTATGATTTTCATTCTTAATTTTATCCGCTATATGCATGCTTTTGTTTTCCTTAATAATTTTACTAACTTGGTTTTGATGCTGTGCTGCTCATTGCTGTCTCTGGTGCTGCCTCACGTGTTGATTGTCATTCAGCTTGTGTTTTTTTGTATGTTTGCATATCAAATGCCATGCTATTGTTCTTTTTACTTTGTCATTTCATTTTTATTGAACTTTTTGTTTGGGGATGGGGAGATAAGGAAATGGTGGGGACTAGGGAGGACGGATATGCTACTGAGGATAAAAACCTAGTAACTGTGGGGTTTGTTCTTTATTAGGAAATTCTACAGAGTAGAAAAACTCGGCTGTTATTCAGTGGGTGTTTAACCAACATTGTATAGCATAGTTATTAATCCCGGATAGCAACTTATTGCAGCTGAACCGGAGAACTCTATAGCAGGATAGCACGTGGCAGGATAACCACTATTCTGAATTTTTTTACTCAGATTAAAAGTTTATACTATAGGCATAGAAGAGTTTATGCTGAATTTAATGTTAAAAATTAAAAGAATTACTAAAAAATTCAGAACATAGAAAAGATTGGAGGGTGGGTGTCACTGAAAATACTGCCGATGGTGGGTGGGTGTTAGTTGCACAAAATTGAGAGAAGGCGAGTGGGTGTTGAGGACACAATGTGGGTGTCACCATAGACAGAAGTGTGTTAATCTCACAATAGTCGATCTTAAATAGCAGAGCCGTCACATTATAGTGGGATAACAGAATGACTTCTATGTTGAACCATAAAGTGTGTTTGTAAAATTGTTCAATCGTCGTTCAGCGGGAATTCATCAAACTTCTCCAGTCACGTTCAGTTTCTCGGAATGTGTGAAATTGATGCTGAAATAACTAAACAAGCTCACTCTTATACTACAAATGTATATGTGTGCTGAAAACAAAGAGAGCATACCTAAAACTAAAGAGAAGTCATTGCCTTTTCAATTTCAGCTTTTTTTTTTTAGAGATTGAATACAGAAGAGAAGAAAGAAGTAAAAACAAGGTTGAAGTGTTTGAGGGTAGGTCACAATAGTGATATCATCACTGGAAACTGGCTGGAAAAGAGATGGATCTTTGTAAACTGTTGGTAACCATTAAGAACAGAGCCTGGACGCTGGAAATTGGCAGGAAAAGAGCTTTGTGGCATTGTGTAACAGTGAGCAATGCTGGAAACTGGTGGAGGGGTGCAGACAAGGACCCTGTGGAGGCTTGGCTTGAAAATCTGTTTGATTTTCTGATTTTGCCCCCCAAAAAAACTTGAAATGATGCTCACTCAGGGAGCAAAACAGTCTTCGGCCCCATATTTGAAAGAGCATTTGTGAACCGCTGCAACAGCAGCCGTGTATCGCACTGCTCCTCCTGTCAGTCCTGTGACAGCCAGGCACTGGCAATTCAGTTCTGGGGAGCGAGGCAATCCTGCAGTGTGATAGCAGCGCTATAATGTGCTATTAACTACTCTGGGTAAGCAACATCCCATTGTTTATTTTAAAGGAGGGAAAATTTTAACTTTTCCCCTTGAAAAACTCTCAAAACGATGCTGTTTTGATGGTCAAAATTGGGTTTTTCGAATTTTCGAAATGCCTCACTGCAGCACCTTTGAAGGCTGGCTGCTACTGTTCGCAATGGCTGCTATTTAAAAACAAACTGTTATTCAAATGAAAAGTATCAAATGAAAATTTTGACCAATCAGGGAACTAATGACCAGATGTGGCTGTTTGAGTAAAAATTAAGTTTCCATAAAACTCCTCTGCATTAAATTTGTACCGTTTTACAATTAACTTTTATGTACTAATTATCTTATTTCTTTACCTTTTGATATCACTATGTTCTATTTCTAAAATAATCTGTGGGGACTTGGGGCCTTACAGATACATAAATAGCAATATTTTGATGGTTCTGGCTAGGGTAGGGCACCTTCACATGCTCCCACGGTGGGGAAATTTTGTTGTCCCGATTTTCGGTCCTTAATTTTAAAATCAATGGCTGAATTATTTATTTTTTATTTTATTTTTTTTGTCTCTTTCCCGATTTGCCTTGACTATCCCTTCTCTCGCTTCCCTCCACCCGATGGCCCTCTCCCTTGTAGTCAAGATTACTGCAAAATCCACTGCAAACCACCATGTATACATCGAAGTATCCCAAAATAAATGCCAAATACAAACAAAATCAAACCACCATGAAATGAAACCCACCGCAAAAAAGACTGCAACCAGTGCCCACCAGCTCGTATACATTGGAACATCCCAAAATATTCCAAACACAAACAAAGCCGCCACGAACCACAACAAAACCCACTGAAAAGAAACCCACCACAACCAGTGCCTTCGTCGAACAGTTGCATGAGTGACAATACAATAATCCCAACCATGGAAATTTTCACGCTTGCGACCAGATATGTGATATTGAGAGTGAGAATGAGGTTGTGGAAGAGGAAGGGGAGAAGGTGGGTGGTTGTGGCACAAAGGGTTAAGGAACAGAGAAAAAGGAAAGAAAAATGAAAAAGGAAAATTGGGAAAGTAAGAAAAAATAAAAAAGAAAGAAAGAAAAAAATTCAACCATCTCTTTAAAAATAAATAAATCTGTCTGTGCTTCATATGTCTCGCACCCTAGCCACCCCATGTTTTGAAATCCAATCTTAGTCAAACTGAGATTTTGTGCATACCTGTATTTTCCATAAACTATTTTCTTGGATGTGACAGGGTAATATTTTAAAAATATTAGTAAAGTCATTGGAAAATAAAACATTAACATAAATCTCTAATATGTAATCAAATTGGTCATCTTGTATAATTTTTTTAAATAAGGTGAATAATGTACGTTAGAATGATAAAATTTATGCAGTCCTTTGGTGAACCTTGAAGCAGAATGTTCATATTTTTGAGGATGTATCTTTGCTACTAATTAACTATCTGATATGATTGTTTTGTGAGAATACAAATTTCTCTTTGTATTGTGAATATATTTTTCTATTTGTATATGCAGCTGTATTCAAATAATAGATATTAGTTGGTTGTATTGTATTCAGTTAGTTGTTTGTTACAACTAACAGACCTCAGCTCCTGCCTATATATCTTGTAACAGGACTGAGAGGGTAGGTTGTATTCATTTTCGCCAAATCAATAATATCAGAATTATCATGAAGAATTATTTTCTCTAACTTGGTATCAGAGCTGGTTGATCCTCTTCTATGGATTCTCTTCCAGTAATATCAGAGATGTTCTCTAACTTGTTTTTGGTTTCTTTTTGCTGCTCTGTTCATGGTTGCTTCAAAAGAGCTACTATTCCAAAAGTACAAACATATTGGCTTGGTCTAGTCACACCTCCTTCTTGAGTTGCTTCTTGTTCCCTGCATCTTGTTTTCATATTTTAGAGAACATCTTAACCTACCTTAGCTGTACTTTCCTCTTTTCTTGCAGTATCTAATCACCTTCAGGTTCATTTCTCTAATAAAAGTTTTGTCTATATTCATACCAATTTTCACTGGTATCTTACATTAATGTATGTGTTGTGTAATAAGGAACAATTTAACTTGTTACATATGTACATCCTTTAATAATCTATTGAGATTACTTGTATCTCCACTTATTGATCAAAATACTACTGGTGCAAAACTTTATGTGTCTCAAGAGTTCCTGTTGTGTTTCATGTCTTTCCTTATTTTTAGGTGTCTGTTCAACCTCAAAATAGAATCCAACCTAGGCTGCTTTGTAACAAAAAAAGTGGTGTCTTTAATAAACAAATTGTACGTAGGGTCAAGTTATTTGTGTGGCCCTATATCAACTAGAGGCAGCTTGGGGCACTGGTCAGGACCTTTTGTCTCTTTCTTAACATGCAGGGTTTGGACCCTGCCACGACACATTTTGGCTACTATTATCAGAAGCCATTGAATTAACAATGGCTGTATTAGTATAACTGGTCAGATATCTTACTGAACAGGTTTGGTTGGTAAAAAGCTACTTTCATAGTTCTAACTTCTAAGTATTGATTGGACTGATACATGGACTGTTTCCTAATTAATACAGTTGCAATGTTGTCATACCCTCATAGGCATTTAGTGATGTGACAGGGCCCAAAATTGGTGTTATTGAAGGATCTTGTCGATTTGGGAAGACTAAAGGCTACAAATTGTGAATGCAAAGAGGAAGCAAAAAGAAATGACATGCTTTCCATTTTCTTGAAGAACATGGATAGAGTGTGATAGTGCCATAGAGTGGTTGGTTAGAATGTTTTATGCTTGGGTGGTTAAAGTTGTAAGAGGCAGGGAATTTTTAGCATTTATTAGAATACATGAAAAAATCCAATAGTATCTTGATTATATCTTTAAAATAATTTGGAGTATCATAGGATTATCTCAAGATTGGTTTGTTTCCTTGTTTAGTTAGGATCACAATATATTATTTAGTATAAATAAGGGCTAGTGCTTTATGTTTTGTATCATATTGCAACACTTCACATTAAATCAACTCAATGGGCCTGTGTTTATTTTTTTTATATAAAAAATCATTTTTTTTAATAAAATAAAGTTCTCTACCTTTTTTTTATGTTTGTCTAAACTATTTTTAAAAATAAAAATATTCTTTTTTTGCTTTTTTAAAAAGCAACTCCTATTTGCTTATTAAGAAATCACTTGTTTTAGAATCATTTTTTTAAAATTTTAAATAAACTGGCCCAATATCATTCTCATTGTTTTTAGTCTCTTATTTCCTTTTCCTCACTCTAGGGGTTATCATCTGTCGGATTCAGGTTCAAAATGTTGAATTCGACCAAAACCAATCATTGTTATTTGTGAACCTATCTGAAAGTTGTTTGGGTTGTCAATTTTGGATTCATGAGTTGTGGGTGTGGGCGGTGAATTTTAATGGGTCCCATATAGATGGAGGAGACAAGTATAAAACTGATGTTGGACCAACAACTATGTGTCGCCAACGACGGCCACTTTGACAAGTTTGAGTGCATTGGCAACAAAGAATTTGATGCATACAAACTTGAGTCGGTAACGAACCAAGAGTTCAACATTAGAAGAAAGCATTAAAACATTTTATTCAAGTTTTCCATCTCATGACGTTGAAACCCAACTAGAAAGCATTGGAGTATTGTTTTGGAACCTTTTGTTTTTAAAGTTGCTACTGGTTGGAGTAGCTACTAGCTACTTTAGCAAAAGAAGAAGGAGTATTGTGGCTTGCTACTAAAATTGCGATAGAAAGACATTTGTCAGTACGGATGGGACAATGGGCTGAGCAGTTCCAATTCCAAGGCTGTACACTTCAATTTTTTTTTAGTTTCAATGGAAAGTTCTGCTGCTGCAGCATCCTATCAATATACTTTACACTGACTTAATAAATAAATAATAGAGAACAAAGTATGGCATTGGCTCTATATGTAACTTAACAATATAATATTACCTTAAAATATAGTATAATAATATCACCTTAAGTATATCATTTCTGTTCTACTTGTTTCTCCAATCCCTCCACTTTTGAGTCTATTATTATAGATGGTGTTTGACAGGTCAAATCAATTGTTAAACCCAGAGTAAGCTCACTAAATTATGTATTTACTATTGAAAACAATCTGGTTTTTAGGCCACAATTATAGCACAAGACAAACAACATAGGGTTCCCCCTAACCAAGTCTCTTTGTGCTGCACCCAGCAATTAGTAAAACTATCCAATGAATAAACCATCCCCAAGCTCCATAGACATAAAGCATCATGTCACACCATTCTATAACTCCCTAAATAACTGCATAAAGACTGAAACAATGCACAAAAATAATAATTCAGATCCATAACTACCTAATGGCTAGATATCTATCTAAAGATGCACATACTGCACAAACATAATAATTCTAACTGGCTTCTTATCCCTTTCCACATGCTTTCAAAGGTCTATGATGATTGATCCCAACTTTATTTCTCATACGTGGTTTTACCTAGATATCCATCCAAGATGCTGTCTGACCCAATATTTTTGGTCCAATGGTCTGTTCCCTGCCAGTTTTTGTCTCAAATGTGACATTGCCTTGGCTTTTTGTCCCATACGTGGTTTGATCCAATCTCAGTCCAACAAGATGCGGTCTGCTCCCACTAGGTATCTTAGTTTGGCTCTTGCCAGCTTTGTCCCATATGTGATTTGGCCTTTGTTTTTATATCTTAAATGCGGCTTGGCCCCAACAGTTTTTTCTCCCAAATGAGATTTGACCCTGATGATCTGTGGTCCTAGACACTTGCCACATTTTTCTTTTAGCCCAAATGCATTGCCATGTTGTCATGGTGTTCTTTTTATGCTGATAATTATTCTGATGAGTAGTGAATCTGTTTTTACCAGAGTCATACAATGATGAATTAGTGATGAATTGACTGGTTTTTCAGTCTAATATTTCATAATTTGGCTTGTGGGAGTTAATACAAGTCTGTGTGTAGTCTATATGAAATGATAGAGAATTCATTTCTTGTTCTGTTTTTTTAATTCTTGATTTAGCTTTTATCTTCCATTGTAGATTCAAGCCAGCATATAGAGTCTGAGGGGCAAGAGAAAAGCCTGGAGCCAGTTTTTTCCGTGGCTGAAAATCTTGAATTAATGCCACCATCTAGTATGCATTGCATGGAAGAGAATGATGTCATACTCAAAACATCTGTTCCTTCATTTGAGATGCTAACATTGAAAAAGGAAGAGCTTCACTTGAAATCTGAAATTTCATGTAATTTAAAATCAAGAGAAAATCTGACTTCTGTTGAAGATAGCAAAAGTCATGGACTAGATGTTGTTGAAGAAAATGTTGGATCCCTTCTACAGAAGGAAACATTTGGAGGATACAATGAGCCAGGTTACAATAGCAAAGCTAATTTATGTGGTGATACTGATATTGATTCTACGGCCAGGGCCACCGAATCATCTAGTGGTACTGGACAAGATATGGTTATTGGCCTCCTACGGAGAGATTGCCTTGATGAGGATGCTAATGGTGGTCAGAATTCTAGGAATAAAATCACGCAGTTGGAGATGGAGTCAAGGGATGATGTGAAACAAATGACATTAAGGTCTGGTCATTGTAGTTCAGTATGTTCTTTTACATTTACTTGTAATATTACCAAAGTTTAATTAATATAGCACGCTGTCCCTTCCAGAAGTTTTCTGTCCTTTACCAATGTGTTTAAATCGGTCCTCTCAGATTATAACTATTAGGTTTTACTGATTAACTCCTGGTAGCAGGACTAGAAGTCTGTCTCCAAGTGCTGAGATTAAAGACAGAAACAAACGCCCCAGAATTGTATGTGATTTTTTTGCTAAAGGATGGTGTATCCGAGGTAGTTCTTGTAGCTTTCTTCATATAAAAGATACTGTGAACAATACTGACCAGGAGGCTGAAGCAGACTTAGTTACTGCACATCAGAAGAGGGAATTGAAAGTGGAAGAAGGTATGCCATATAACTTGCTTGGTCAGGCTGTTTAGGAATCTGCTTTGTAACAATATTTCTGATAAAGATATTGTCCTGTAACAGGTGTTAGGGAAAATGTTGAGAGATTAAGGATGGTTAGTACTCTAGTTTCATTTACTGCTTCACTTGAAAGCATATCTTTGTATTCTTCTGAATTTCTTTTGAATATGAGCATGCAGAATGAGCAAGAAGCAAGTCCTAGTTGGCATCCATCTCAAGAAAAACAGAAGTTTCATCTGAGGGACAACTTGTTTCCAGAGAATAGATTTGCATTTAGTGCATCAAACAATTATTTCAGCCCAAATCTTCCCTTGAATTCTACCCGTGCTGATGGAATGACTACTTTTTGGAACCAACATATGTACAAAGGATATACTTCAACAGTTTTGAGCCATTCACCAAATTCAAGCCTGGTTACTCAATTTCCAGCCTCAAGCATGTCACTCTCCCACCAGATTCCGGCCCAATCAGGACGGTCATTTCCTTTTAGTTCATCTTTGGGGGCTGGTAATATGGATTCTCAAAAGCTTTTGAAAACTAACAAAGAATATCTCACCTCTAAGTCCACTTTCTCTGGTTCAGGGCAGGAAGATTTGCCTCTGGTTAGTTCATCTAGGGTTTCATCATTTCCTACTGGATATAAATCAAAAATCTGTTCTTATGACTGGGAACCTTCTGTGCCCTTTCGACCATCCTTTTTTATTACTTCTATGAATGTATCATCTCCTGGAGATCTTTATGACCCTCTTCGTGATAGCATTGAGATACCCAATATAGGAGATGGATCTTTGAAGGCTTCCCTTTTAATTCATGGATCAAATGCACAGGCTTCATCACAGGTTCGGGCATATGGTGATTCTGATGTAGTTGGGAAACACACGTCCAATCTTAATGATGCCAAAAGTTCTGTATCTTCTCATAACAAATTTTGTGAAAATGAGACACATAAAAATTGTGATCCTCATGAAAAGGATTGTTTTGCACCTGAAACAGAGATAACATCAGGTACTTACCTAAATAATCAAAATGGTAAAATGGGCACGGGACAACATAACTTTGGTGTTGCAGATAGTACAAAGAAAGAGAGACATTTGACTGAGCGTGAGGCTAGACATTATGGTGGTGAAGGATCGAGACACAAAAAGAAGAGAATAGGTAAGGATAAGAAAGATCATGAAATGGATGTTGACTTTCAGACAGATGGCAGCATGCAGAAGGAACCAAAGGCACTAAAAATATTCCGTGCAGCTCTTGTTGATCATGTAAAAGAGTTGTTAAAACCAGCTTGGCACGAGGGTCGTCTCAGCAAGGATGCACATATTATGATAGTCAAAAAATCAGTTGACAAGGTTGTTAGCACCTTAGATCCACAGCAGATTCCGACCATAGATACTGCTAAGCAGTATGTTTCTTCAAGTCGGGTGAAAATTGCAAAGCTGGTCAATGTAAGTGACTTTTTTTTTTTTTTTTTCCTTTTATAGCAGTGATATTGATTTGTTAATGAAAATGCATGGATATTGTTGTTTGATTGTGATATGTCCTTCATTTAACAGAAATGTTTTTGATTTGCAGGGATATGTCAATAAATATGGCAAATCTTGATATTCAAGCCAAACTCCTTTTTTGTACAGTTTCTGATCAGTTGGATCATCCTAGTTCTCATGAAAAGTTCTGTCTGAGGCTCTCTTTTTCATAAAGAAGGTTGATTTGGAATGTTTTGATTTTCAATTTCCTTTCAAAATATTTGCCTATTGTTTTATCCGTGCCTTCTCTTGCTTATTCAATTATAGATTAAACTTGCATGAATTGCATGGTTTATGAGGATACCTTGTTTTCCTTTACATAATTACATTTAATTGTTTAACATTTGGTCTAATTTTCGCGAATTTGAAAGTAACGGGTAGCTACTTGGAAAGACTGGTTGGATGCATACTGTTTTTGTTTTCATGTGTCTGAAATCTGGAAATTATTGAAAATATATTGATGTCAGTATTATTATATAGTTCAGTGCTTTAAATCCTAGATAGTGGTGTGTAGTGAACGACCCAAAAAAATGCTATAGCAGATAACGGTTAGCGAGCTAGCCACTATTTTGAAGTTTTTTTTATGTAGTTTATATTGTCGTTTTTTTTAGAGAAAATATTTTTTTTAAAGAGATGTGTTATGTAGAAGAACTTATTAAACTTTTTATTATTCATGGGCTCTATATATTGGGCTAAAGTGTAACAAAAAAATTCAAGTGATTAAAGAAATAGGTGAGAGATAGAGAGGAAATAGAAGTGTTTGGTTTAAGAGAAATAGAAAAGAAATAGGAAAGAGAGATTTAAACTAAATTTAAATAAAAAATTGATTAAAATTTTGATTTAATCAATTAAATCAAAATTTTAATAAACTAAATCAAGCAAAGAAACGTTTCCCAGTGAGAAAGATAGTTCATAATCGATTATGAATCATCTTTAATCAATAAAAATATGACGCTGCATTAGTTACTGTTGAATTTCTTTGCTAATTTACGAAGAAATTAAAGGTGTCCAATTAAAAGGTGTGAGATCCACACCTTTTTATTTCTCCTCTTTCTAATTTCCACACAACCAAACATACTCAATTTCTTATCTCCTACCTATTTCTTCTCTCCCCCTTATTTCTCCATAAAATCATACCAAACAAACCGGGAATATTCAGAATAATACCCATATCTTTATCTAAACATCATCCTGGAAATTTGAAACATAACTAAAATTCCTAAAAACTTAATCATTTATCTTCAAGTTACAAATATTTAGGCATATCTACAATTCTCCTTGCCTTAATATCATTCGATACCCAATTTGAATTTCAAGTTTGAAATCTTTCTATCTTTCTTTTGATGTTTTCTTTCTTCCTTTTATTTTGCTTATCATTATTTTTCTTGTATGGGACAACCTCCACAACGAACTCGAGGTTTTTACATTGCATTTTTCTTTTTTGGTCAATTTTAGCTTCGTATCCACTAGACGCCACGCTAGCAACATAACACCTTTCATAGATGTGACAAAGTGGTTATTCATCTGCATATTTATTCTCCTCTTGAACATCAAGCTTCTTCAAAACACATCTTTGTGTTCTTTTGATTTTGATCCTTCTCTTTTGTCTTCTTTATCTCTTGTCTACATCAAATTTAAAACAACGTTTTTGCCTTTAATTTGAACTTTGATCACTTCTATATTGTTTGTATCTTCTATCACAATTTTTATGTTGGAACAACACCTTGCGGCCTTCCTCCAACAATGAATTGGGAACTTTTCAAGCCATGGACCCTAATTGGCTGAGTATCTTGAAGAAGTAAAGAGTATCTCTTCAACTTTCAATAAATTTTCCCATAGTTGTGTGCCTAGGGAATAAAATACACGAGCCAATCTTTTGTCAAAGTTGGCAACCAAGAAGCAGCCTGGTTCCACAAGATTGATCATTGAAGAAACTTATTAGAAACACAATCGATGATTAATAAACTGAACAAAGTAACAATCAAGAGATTTTGATTTATTCCAAGAATATATAAAACATTTGAGATTATTTTCAAACTCGAGTGACTTAATTGCAATGTGTGCTCTGTTTTCAGTTTTGACTTTGGAAATAATAATTTTGTTGAGCTCTTTGAAGAATTGTTTATTAATAAGTCAAACTTTAGTGAAGTTGTTGGTTGTAAAGCTTGGCATTGCAAATAATTGTTCCTCAACAACTTTGGCCTCTCTTTATTGTTGGCAAGACTTACATTTTTTTTCCACGTGTCTTAATTGACAACACTTGTAACATCTCGCATCAGGCCTTCACCAACATTTCTTTAGTAGATGATTAGTTTCTTAACAATGCAGACATAGTGGAAAAGCTTGAGACTATTTTTTTGATCACTATTTCCAAAATATTTGACTTGCTCTTTTTTCTGGTTTGTCCTCATTGTTTTGCAAGTTGGCTTGGAAAGCTCCCTCCATTGTTTGTTTGTGTCTTGCAAGTCTTCTTTGCTCTAGTACATGTAATGCATGTAACATTTTTGTCAATGTGATCTTACATATATTTTCTTTGTTCTCCAAGGTGGCTAGAAGCTTCATATCTTTTGGACATTACTACAAGATTTTTGTAGTTTTGGAATCAGAAAATTCGATGCCTAATGGTTGTACTTTAATAGCGAATGCTAAGCAAGTTACCCAATTATTAATACTCAAACTTTTTCATTATTTGTAACCCGAATTCCCTTATAAATTTAGTAACTGCATGCTTTGAATCCTTTCATCTTTTCTATATTTTGTCTTTAGGTACTTCCAAATTGCTTTGCCTATTTTGAGAGGCATGATTTTGGTGAAGATGGTTTGTGGAACACTAACAAACAATCATGTCTTTTGCCTTTGCCCTTTTGAGTTTTCTTTCTTTGTGAACTTTTATTTGGATTAGGGTAAGATTGTCTAATAGTGAAGGTGCATTGTAATTCTGTCCCATGGTTTCTCAAAGATCTAAAGTCTCTAGTTATGACCTCACTCACTCTTCAAAGATTATAGTTGTCGAAAGGGAGACAATTGAATGTAGGATATGTTGAAATCATGTGTCTTGATTACAAAACAAATCCTGTGGAATGTGATAGGCCTATTATTACAAAGATCCTAATTAAGTGAAACATATCATAAAATAGAAAATAAACTATCCAAGATATAAAAAAAATATTATCAAATATTCCTAAGATTTTTTTAACACTCCTTAAGTTAAAGCTAAAGCTTTCTAAGATTTGAGTTTGTTTGCAAATAAAAATAATTAGTAAACATAGAAATTGAGTGCCACCATGAACAATAGTTGGAAAGGCAACTCAAGGATGTTGGAGAAGCTAGAGAGAATTGTTAGAAATATAGCTTAGTCAGATAGCTAGAATGGTCACCAGCCTTGAAAATTTTTCTTGGCAAGAAATCAAGCAAAGCAAGGTCCAATCTTCTTAAAACCACATTCAGAACAGAAGCTTTCAAACCAAAAATATTGGAGGCTCAAAATATTTAGACTTGTAATTAAGTTTGACAATTGCTTCTGGTCAAAGACTAGACATGTTTTTGCCTTTACAAAAAAAAAAAAAAGACTATTCATGTGCATCTAGGGTTTAGGTTTTAGGACAAACACAGTCTGATGCATCTAGCAAAATGTTTGAGGCTAGAGCATTTGGAATAAAGAGTTGGGCTAACGAATCATTTAAGTTACTGTTGGAATGATTGTTGGCAAAAATCAAGTCACCACTAATATGATTCATTCATGTGAGAAGAGTCACCATTGGAATAATCATTGGTGGAAAAGCAGTCCCCACCAAAATCATTGTTGATGAGAAAGAAGTCACCACCAGATTGATCACTGGTGGGAACAAAAGCCACTGATGTGATTATTAGTGAGAAAAGGATTGCATGACAAACATCGAATAAACAAACAATAGAATAAAGCCAAATAGTATCAAATTTGAGCTTTGAACATCACAAAGCATAACCCAAAAGAGCTATTTAAGCAAGTTAGTGAATGATAGAGTTCCAAAACCATAAAACAAATATAGATTGGTGATTAGGACAATCCTGCAACTCAAGTCTTAAAGAAGCAATAAAAAAGACACTATAATGTACTTGAAAAGGAAAGAGAAAGTGTTTTTGATGCAAGAGGAGGAACCACATTCTAAATCTCAAAAGTGTGGTCAAATTTAGGAATGACAAGCTGAGGCAAACTATGTGACTGAGAACTTGCCAAAAAAGTTGTTGGATGCCAGAGATTTTACTAGAAAAGTGGGTGGCAGCTAACAATGATTGACAGGGAAGGAAACACGCTAGAAAATCGTCATACAATGATAAAAAAGCGTGATACTCACGTTGGAAAGAAGAGAAAGAGATGACTAATTGGAGTTTTAGACTTTTTGAGAACTCGACACAAAACAGTGACATGACAAGTCAGAAGGATGGTACCACTTTGATACCATTTTGAAAGAGAGAAAATTATACTTAATTGGTGCTATAATTGTATGTCTTGACTACACAACGAAGTTCATTTTATATAGACTTTATTGGAGTATATCTTTACTCCTTAAAATTGTACTAGATATATTAATGTATAGAGTTATTATTTCAGTCAGTTTCTGTATTTTCTGTTTTAGCTTAATTACCTGTTCAACAAGTCAATGTTTCTATAGCTTCCCTTGAAGCTATTGAAACATATAAATAGGACAATTGTATTACTGATTAATTACTGAAAATCCAATTTACGGTTCTCTGTTAATTCTGCTCTCTCTCTCTCACTCTCTCCCTCTCTAATTTCTAAGACTCACAATTCTAATATGGTACATAGAGCTAACGATCCTTACCTCCTTCTTACTCTCTACTTGACTACACTATCTGTCTCCACTCATGGCTGAAGAACCACCATCGTCTTCCTCAACAAACCCTCCCCCATCACCACCCCACTTTCATGCTGCACAGGTCAAACCTGCCTCATCCCCTTCCTTCACCTTCTCGCACACCATTTCTGAAAAATTAGACACCAAGAACTATCTTCTTTGGTGTCAACAAGTTGAACCAGTCATCAAAGGCCACCGTCTTCACCATTTCTCGGTCAATCCCCAAATTCCTCAGAAATTTCTATTTCTGATAGAGATGCCAATCGAATCTCTGAAGAATATCTTGCGTGGGAACAGCAAGATCAGTTACTTCTTTCTTGGT